CAATCAGTTCATTAAGTTCGGTTCAGTTCAGTTCAAATGAGTTCAGTTCAGTTCAGTTCAATCAGTTCCGTTCAGTTCAGTTAAATTATATTCCAGTTCCAGTTAAATTAAATTAAATTAAATTAAATTAAGTTAAATTCAGTTCAGTTAAATTAAATTCAGTTAAATTCAATTCAATTTTATTTCTATAGCTCCAAATCCAAACCACAACAGCAGGAATCTCCCAGCTTTCCAAACAGAGCAGCACTAGGAGACCCAGGGAGGGAAAAACTGCCTTTAGGGGGAATAAACCTGGAGTGGAACCATGGCGCTCACCCCGTAGTAGAGCACGGTGAACTGGGACATGCAGTGTGGGCGGCAGAACTCCTCCACCTTCCCCCCGTAATGGCTGCTGAGGTTCATTAAGCTCAGTTCAGCTCAGTTCAAATGAGTTCAGTTCAATCAGTTCAAATGAGTTCAGTTCAGTTCAATCAGTTCATTAAGTTCGGTTCAGTTCAGTTCAAATGAGTTCAGTTCAGTTCAGTTAAATTATATTCCAGTTCCAGTTAAATTAAATTGAATTAAATTGAATTAAATTGAATTAAATTGAATTAAATTAAATTTAATTAAGTTAAATTAAATTCAGTTAAATTCAGTTCAGTTAAATTAAATTAAATTCAGTTTAAATTCAATTTTATTTCTATAACTCCAAATCCCAACAACAACAGCAGGAATCTCTCAGCTTCCCAAACAGAGCAGCACTAGGAGACCCAGGGAGGGAACAACTGCCTTTAGGACGAATAAACCTGGAGTGGAACCATGGCTCTCACCCCGTAGTAGAGCACGGTGAACTGGGACATGCAGTGTGGGCGGCAGAACTCCTCCACCTTCCCCCCATAGTGGCTGCTGAGGTTCATTAAGCTCAGTTCAGCTCAGTTCAAATTAGTTCAGTTCAGTTCAATCAGTTCATTAAGTTCGGTTCAGTTCAGTTCAAATGAGTTCCGTTCAGTTCAGTTAAATTATATTCCAGTTCCAGTTAAATCAAATTGAATTAAATTGAATTAAATTGAATTAAATTGAATTAAATTAAGTTAAATTAAATTCAGTTAAATTCAGTTCAGTTAAATTAAATTAAATTCAGTTAAATTCAATTCAATTTTATTTCTATAGCTCCAAATCCAAACCACAACAGCAGGAATCTCCCACCTTCCCAAACAGAGCAGCACTAGGAGACCCAGGGAGGGAACAACTGCCTTTAACAGGAAGAAACCTGGAGTGGAACCATGGCTCTCACCCCGTAGTAGAGCACGGTGAACTGGGACATGCAGTGTGGGCGGCAGAACTCCTCCACCTTCCCCCCATAGTGGCTGCTGAGGGTCCGGAGGGCGAATCCGCAGCAGAAGCTGCAGGGCAGCCAAACCTGCTCCGGCTGCCGGGAAGCCACTTCCTGTTTGAACTGCTGCTGGCAGCCTGCAGGAGACAAAACACCCAGGAGGAAAGGATTAATTTAGATTAATACATAAGAACCTCTATAACAGTCTAACTGGTTCCAGGAGCGACTTCTGTGTTAAATATTGGTTTGTTGGTTCAAATCTTCCATCAGAATACTCTGTAATTCCTAGAATTGGTTCCAAAAACCTACGATAACTCCTGAATAAATACTGCAGATAATTACACATAGGAAGAAAATTCCTAATTCCTAGAACTGGTTAGATGGATAGATAGATAGATAGATAGATAGATAGATAGATAGATAGATAGATAGATAGATAGATAGATAGATAGATAGATAGATAGATAGATAGATAGATAGATAGATAGATAGATGTGACTGATTGATTGAATGTTAAATTGTTTCTTTGCATGTTTCCAAGAAAATAAA